AATCAAAGATACGGCCGTTTATATCTCACATTCGCAAAAGGAATCAAAACCTTCTTACTTTTACGAGGGTACTTCTCGTTGACCTAGAATCATGAAATTTGGCAAGAAGCAATGTCATATAACAGAAGTAAAGGGAAAAATCAGAAAACCGTAAATTTGTAGTTATTTAAAAAAAAAAATCACACTTGTCTTGATTCGCACTTGACTGTTTTTTTTTTTTTATTTAATAAGCCTAATGTCTCTTACGCGTAGCGAGAACAAGTCTAACTGACATAAAAGAAAACACCTATCTAATAAATATTTAAAGATATCACTCTTTCTCTCTATAAAAAATGTAAATACATGTTTTTATGCAACTTAGAATGGCAAACAAGCTGACGGCCCACGTGATGGAAAATGGTAACCGTCGTCTATAGACATGAGCAGTACCATGGCCATAACAGAGTATACTATTTCGCCTATGATACCCCCCATTCGTTGCCATTCCTGAGGACTCAGGTGTTATTCCTCTGTACATTCACGCCATACCCTTCAAACCGAAACACAGCATGCAAACACAACTACTTCACGGTAGAAATAAATACATATACCAGAGGGAGACTTTGTACAAAAGTCGTTTGCTTGAGTACCTCTGTCCCATTCGTGTTTCAACCGTAAAGCAGTTGTGACAATGATTCTATACATAAGTAATACACATATTGGGGGGAAAGGGATTGTTAGCAATGGAGTTTGACAGCCCCATTGCTAGCAATATGCCCTATTAGGTCGACCTGCACGTGGTTCCCCCTGGAAACCATCGTGAACAATTCTTGTTGAATTCGTCACGATGGGCTAACTGACCTGCTTTATCCTCATCTATCATTCTTCACTGGTGGCCCGCCGGTGTATACCGATAACGCGGGTGGGGATACCATTCGATTATCACCCATTAAAAAAAATACACATACTAAAGTAGCCGTTATGTTATTTTGATGGTGTGTCAATATAACATTAAAGTGATGACTTGAGAAATTGTACTTACCTACTGTCCAATGTGACGAAATCGCTTAATCAACAATGTACGCTTTTAAATTATTATTTAGAATAGTCATCGCTCGCAATTGACGCTTAATATTTTTATAAGCGACTTCGAATTCTTTTGTGTGTATCTTTACACTAGATTTTTGACGTTTCCGAGTCGATTTTGATGATTATTTCAAGTTCATAGTCTAATTTTCTATTCTAATTTTAGATATCCTGTACTAGTTTTCTAACGTTCGATGTATTTTTATGTATGAAACAAAATCTTAATGACGTATAGACAATTAGAGGTTGAGAGAAAGAGATTGTAAGTATTGAGGTGTAACAGCCCCACTGGTAGCAGTGTAGCCTATCAGGTCGACCTCCACGCCGTTCCCCCTGGAAACCATCGTGGTAAATTATCTTTGTGTAAAAATATTATTATATTTTTATGCTGACTATTATGTACATTGAAATATTAAAATATAATAACTTTCTTTGCCCTTAATAAAATATAACCTTTGAATAGGTTTCCTTTTAGTGGGTGAGGTTTAAAAGCAGGCTAGTTACCCCCCGTAACGAATTCCACAAGAATTAACCTTGTTAGTTTCTAGGGAGGACCGCGTAGAGGTCGACCTATTAGAGTGTATTATTAGCAATGGTGCTGTTAAACCCCATTACTAACAATCTTTTTCCCCCAGGGGGAAAAAAGATTATTAGTAATGGAGACTGAGAATCCCATTGCTGGCAATATACCCAACCAGGTCCACCTCCTCGCGGTTCTACCTGGAAACTATCATGGTTAATTCCTAATAAATTCATCATGATCAGGGTAACTGGCCTGTTTTCATTCTCATCTATCACCCTTCACTGGTGCTCCGCCAGCGTATCCCGTTAGCGCGGGCGGGGTTACCATACCATTTTCACCCATAAAAAATAATCCCTTTCCCCCCTAAACAGAGGGCCTACCATCAAATGTTTTCCGAAATTGCGGGGCCGATCGAAACAAAAATTTGATGCCAAAAATACTTAATAGCATCCATTTAAAAATATCAAAAATGTTAAAATATCGTTCCTTTGGACTTTTATAGTATGATTTATGACGAACCAAATCTTATGCTTCATTTACTGAACCGATTTCAGTATGAACAAAAACACGAAATGGAGTTCGAAAATTCGGAATTTCAATTCATGGTAGACTCCCAGATTAATTGTCTATACTATTTTATGTAGTGATTCATATATAAAATGTATCTACTCCATGTTCCCGCATCACTTAACCGTATCAATGGGGGTTAATCAAATTCTTAACCCCAATATAACGCGTTTCGTTAAATCACTGTTAACAATTGGTTAAATTAAATTGCCTTGTTCCGTTAAATCAACGAACGAAATGGAATGACTACGTATTTTCTTTTAATCATCGAAAAACCATTAATCATGAACAAATTACGTTTTTCATGTTTATTATTGAATTTAATGCTATTTATTATCTATGAAATGCACTTTTTTATGCAACTTTTGTATTAACTTTTTTTTTGATCCGATTTCGAGAGAATATTTTTTTATGCAACTTAGAATTGCAAACAAGCTGACGGCCCATGTGATGGAAAGTGGTAACCGTCGCCTATGTACATAACAGAGTATATTGTTTCGACTATGATACCTTTCATGCGTTGCCATTTCTGAGGACTCGGGTGTTATTCCTCTGTACCCTGTAAATTCACAGATTAAAAATTCCTGCAAATTTTTGATCCGATTTCGAGAAAGTAGTGTATAATTTACGCGTATCTGTTTATTTCAATAACTTAATTGATTTTTTTATATATCACAACATACAATCACTAACAAGCTAACAGAAATTGGTAGCCGTCGCCGATAATAATGAATAGCATTATTGTCCATTTTTATGGAATCGTTCCTACAAAGTTTCATTTTCAAAGTCTACATATGAAAGAACCGTGCCCCGGATAGTATGGGTTCTGGGCCATGACGAGTCCCGAAGTAGCTTATATATCATTAGATAGTGCATCACCTATATCGGTAGTATATACCGTTCTTATGAGCGTATTTGGTGGGGATACCTCGTTAGCAAAAAATTTAACTGCGTTATATTTCTCTAAATCACCCATATGTCTAGAGTCTAGACAATAATGACATCTAGACTCTAGACAATAATGTCCAAAATGCAGCCTTCTGAAAATGCTTAGACCCGAGTGTAATCCCTTTTCTTTCGTCATGGTTACAAAGTGTGATGTTAAGAAATGCTCCTCAATATCTCTTCTAAAGCTTCGGGTGCTGACGGTGTGAGTATTCTAATGATGCGACCCATTGTTGATGAGCTCTTGTCAATAATCATATTATTAATTTTTCTCTTGACACATGCTCTTTTCCCGAGCTATGGAAGAAAGCACACATTATTCCTGTCCCTTAAACATCCAATCCCACATCTATTTCTGACATGAGACCTATCTCAATACTTCCTATCTTATCTAAAGTATTGGAGGTTTAAAGTTCTGCACATTGTGCACAAATAACTATCGTTTATTTGTCTGGCCATAACTTGCCGAGTCCATATAAATCTGGTTTCCATCCTGGTCACAGCACAGTTAGTGCACTTTTCAAAGTCACTGTTGATATACGCTGGGCTATGGACAACCACTCCCTCACACTCCTTGTTCTATTGGACTTCAGCAATGCAATTAATTCTGTTGACTATGACATTCTTTTAAGTATCCTTTAATTTCTTAATATATCTTTAGCTGTAATCAATTGGTTAAATTCATATCTTCGGGGCCTATTGCAATGCGTACGCTACGATGAGGTATACTCAGATTGGTGCGAGGTTGCATCTGGAGTCCCACAAGGCGGTGTTCTCTCCCCTCTTCTTTTCTCAGTATTTATTAATGCTGTTACTCAAGTCATTTCTTCTTCCTACCATCTCTATGCAGACGATTTACAACTATACCAACACTTTGAACTCTGTGATATCTCTGAGGCTATTGATCGTATAAACCATGATTTAAATAAAATATCCAATTGGGCAAAACCAAAAGTTAAGCTTACCTGTTGTATATCTTTATTTAATATATACGTTTGTATTTTTTGTGTACAATAAAGAATAAATAATAATAATAATTAGGGTGGCAGGAACCCATTTTTTTTATGAAAATATCGCCTATAATTTACCTGTGAAATATTATAAGGCTCTGTAATTCTGTTTGCGACCAGAGCACCTCCTCGCGGTGACGTTGCTAACGGTCAAAATTTAAACTTTGAGCGGCCTAGTCTCGGGAAATATGTTAAGCCGTTATGGCAAGGAGATTTAGTGACTTAATGCGATTTGATAACTGCAAAAATGGGGCTCGAACCGTAGGCTGTTGCACTCGCATAGCAACTATTGTTTGGTATTTAGGGTATACAAGGCATCTGACACAGTCAATAAAACTTACATCAACAGAAATGGGAGACATATTTTTAAGATTTGAATGATTCTGATAAAGAATCTTCACAGAGATAAATGTCAATTAAGTCATCAACGTTGAGTTGCCTATAAACATACCCGAAGTTTGAATAACAATGAAACTATTTTTCCGCGACTGTACTCGTGAACCCCTAACTGTTAGTATGTGATTCATCTATCGACGCGCCATGGCCCAAATCGACACACAGTTCTTTGAGAAGTTTCAATTGAATTTCAAAAACTACCGATTTCGATTATTATTCTTTTTCAAGTTTTTGTAGGCATTGACCGGACTATTTGCCAATCAATGCCCTTTCAAGATAAATCTCGTTTCTAGAGTAGGATAGGTCTATCTGTTATAAAAGGACCTTTAATATACTATAATATCAATCGTAAACAACAATTATAGCGTGCGCTAAGTTTAAACTACCGCCATCTGTTGACGTAACAGTAAACTAATCGCTGTATATGTATCTCATATTTTTAACCGGCTTCAAATAAGAAGACGTTCTCAATGCAAATTTTTTAATTGTTACAGGCAAGTGGGGCGCAACCTTATCATTCCGGGTGGTACCCGCACCATTGATGCCACAGGCAAGCTGGTGATGCCAGGTGGTATTGATCCCCATACCCACTTCGAGCTCGAAATGATGGGAGCTAAAACTGTGGATGATTTCTATAAGGGCACCAGGGC